AAACCCAAAGCCCCAAACCCTGAAGCCGACCGGGGCTTCTGCATCTTTGCTGCCTCTTTTGGGGCTTCTCAGCGCCGCCGCCGCGTGCGCCTCCAGTCCCAGCCCCAGAGATGTCCTTTGGGAATGGTAGATAATGGCTTCGGGTTTTTGGGCATAGGACCTAGGGTGGGGGGTTTAGGGGTTCAGGGTTTAGGGTTTAGGGTTTAGGGTTCAGGGGTATGGGGTTGAGAGGTTTTGGGTTTTCGGGTTTAGGGTTTAGGGGGTATGGGGTTAAGGGGGTTTAGGGGTATGAGACTTTTTAGCCGGAACCTTTCGACACGTGAGGAAATCTTCAGGCTTGGCTTCTCCTGGGGGTGGCTTGGGGGTGCCGGACATGGCGGTGACACCGTTCAGGGTCCACAATCAGGTATTTGGTCATACAAAAGCTAGAGTAAACCAAGAATGGTATATCCTTGCAGCTGAGTTGCCAGCGGCCTAGACCTCGTACGGCCTTCATCCAAAGATTGAAACAGGCAGTTTTCGGAGTTGATCTGATAGTTTGCCCCCAGGATCATAGTTCGGGCTGGAGCTCATAAGGGCTCTGCTTAGAGCTTCGCGTAAACCTGTCTACGGCTCAAGCCATCCGTGAAAGCACTCCTGCTTTGTTTTCCGCGCCATGTGGTTCCGGGGCGTGTTGGCTCTCGCCCTGCCGGCCTTGGCAACGATGCTTGCTGGCTGTGGCTGTGCACGAGAATCCATGGGCAATTGCCACGTCGAGAAGATCACCCAATCGAACGACATCTGCGGCCCGTCAGGCTACAGCAAAGTCATGAGTGGCGACACAACTGTGGCAGACTGCTGCGCGGCGATCAAAGCTATTCAGGATTGCTACACGGTTTGCTCCTGTGACACGGCATGCGCAGATCAAGACAAGGAGCTCTCCTGTCCATTCACTGGGACAGTAAAGGATCCCATTGATTTTTGGCAGGGCATCATTGAATCCCTAAACAAAGACGGCGAGACCTGCGCCACGGCGGGCCTGACAGGCACGCAGTGCTGAGAAGTGTTTCAGTGATGCTCCAACAAGAAAGCTAGGCCAGAAGGGAAGGTGTGCAAGATATGGGCCTGCAGAATTTAATTGATGTTGCTTAGGGGCTGTCGCCGAACATTCGACCTTTTTCTGCCCCGCGGTAATTTGGGACAGATTGCAAACGCACATGAACACCACGTGCCGGCTGATTTCTGTCTACCTGGAGGGTAGCATGCCTTTCTCCTGATGCTGCGGGATTCAAGGTTTGGGTACCTGCTGTCAATAGGAGTCCCAGTCCTAAACCCTAAACCTTAAACCCTAAACCGTCAAAGTTCGATATGTTCCCATGCCTAACCCAAAGCTTGGCCGCCTTTGCAGACGGAGGAGAGTCAGCAACAAAGCTTTGACCGGAGAAAAAAGGTGGGCTAAACCCTAAACCACTAAATCCTAAACCCTAAGCCCTAAACCCTTAAACCCTAAAACCCTTAAACCCTAGACCCTAAACCCTAAACCACTAAATCCTAAACCCTAAGCCACTAAATCCTAAACTAAACCACTAAATCCTACACCCTGAACCCTAAACCCTGAACCACTAAATCCAAAACCCTAAACCACTAAATCCTACACCCTAAACCCT